TAACACCTACATTGACATACTTCTTATCCAGACACTGCTCTGCAGGGTTTTACTCATTTGTGAAATCACAATATAAACATGCTTTTGTAGCAGTTTGTAAGAACAGTCACATACCTGTGTTTTCCTCAGTCCCTCCAGTTCGGACCATTCTGTGTATGGACTGGTATCGATGGATCGTCAGAGTTGGAAAATACAAGAAGTTGATCAAGAAGTTCAGTGAGGAAAAAGCTCTGAAAAAGATTTAAAGACAAATGAATGAAAGATGGCTCCAAAAATCAGCACCATGGACAGTGACACAGATAAACAGATCATTCAGCACTAGCTGTACTGGACAGCGACCAGCAGATAGAGCCGGTGAATTGCACGGTTCCTGTTTAACCTCGCCTTCACCCATTGGCTGCTGGTAATCCTCAAAGGAATTAGTTTAGAATCTGCCAGTTTCCAAAGCAGCCAGAACCAGAAACAACATCTGCCTCCTAAAATTAAAATGTTGCTGAAACTGCTTAGAAAAACCACGACTGTGACAAAATATTGCATATTTCAATTCTGAATAAATTTGACAGTAAGCGATTTAAAAGACGAGCTATGCAGAAATAATGAGTCCTTTAATTACACCACAGCTGGACATTTGAATGAGAAATCAGTTTTTTAAATATTCCTATGATCATTTATTCTTCCGCTCCTGCCGAGCAGTCTGTCTCATCATTAGAGTAATGTACAGGTAAGTCACGTGAGCTTTGATAACTGTCTCTGACTGATGCCAGAGCTTAACAGCATCACAACAGCGATTAGTCCTGCAGGAGGAGGGAGACTGGGTGCACTCTGCTCTTAGAGTGAGCCACACTTAGCACCGTGCCTTCATCCGAGGGAGCTTGTCAGACAGATCGAAGGCCAAAACAGTACCCAGAGCTCAGATGGCATCAATAATGTACAGATATTTCATCAGTGTTTTTGTCTCAGGTGAGACGGTGAGAGCTTCTTTACCGGCAGCACTGGGGAAACTTATCTTCTTCCTCCTGCATCTGCAGACTTGAGGAGCCGGTCGTGTCTGTTTCCATCACCGAACTCATCACTGAAACATTCTTTCACACCTCAGCGTGGCTGTTTCCCTGCACATAAAAGTTAATAACATGGATAAAAGGCTATAAGTTGGTGCATCACAAGTTCAGGGAAAGTTTAAATAGATCTTTCTGAGCTGTAAAAGAAAAGAAAAAAAAGTTTAAATCTGAAAGCATAGAAAAAAGACTTTAAATTATTACTGAACTATACTATATGGATAGATAAGACAGAAGGAGTGTGTGTTTCTGCTTCAAAGACCAGAAGTTCCAGGTCAGGTCACTCTGGTTCTGAGATTCACATTTATTTATTTTATCACTGACACTTGAGTCCAATTTTTTTTACTGGCTATTGATTTGTCTCATCTCTGTCAAGAGCAGTTTCAAAAATGTGCAAAAAAGATTTCATAACACCTTTTTTGTCATCTTCATGTCAAATATTGTTCTAAATAAAACTGCAGACGTCTGAAGGGTGAGGAGCCAGTGTCATAAAAGATGGGAGGTTGACAGCATCAGCATCAGCATCAGCAGCGTGTTGTTCTCTGCAGTAAACTGAATTATTTATTCCAACGATGTTCACCTTTGAACTGTTGGACCTTGAATAAGCAGTGTGAATAAGCGTCGAGTGTGTCAGGAATTCTGACGCACCGCTGCAGTGGCTGTAGCTGGTGGATACTGTGTTTTTATTACTCTCAGTTTGGTTACAGCCTAGTTTGTGTTTTTAGGCATGTTCTTTATAGCTTTTAGGCTCTGATGCAGTTTCTGCTAATTTTGAAAATGTCACATTAGGGAAATTGCCACCACAGGTGGCCATTTCTAAATGCAGCAGCCCCTTCATGTCCTTCAGAGTTGTTTTTTCCACATGCAACAAAGTTAATGGAGTAAAGAATAAAATGTCAATAAAGTTGCATTCTTTAATGTTCCAGGTTTCCGCCTCCTTCTTTCCTCCAGGGAGAAAGATAAAATATAAAGATTGGTAAGGACTGACTGAACAAAGTTTATGTACGTGTAAAGCAAACACACACAGCCAGTCACTGTCTGCTGGAGGAACAACTTTGTGTTCAGTGGCTGGGAAAGGTGGGAAATTCAATAAAAAATGTTCTGACCTTTCCACATGGCGTGCAGGCAATTATTCCCACTTATCTGACTTTGCTTTTTTTGTCCACTCACTGAGGAACAGAGAAAAAATAATGTTAACACTCATCGTTTCAGGCTTTGGAAATGAAAAAAAGTGTGATTTTTTTTTTAATGTAATAGAGATTTTCCAGGGTGGGTTTTATTTTGTTTTGTCATCAAACCTTACTTCTCATTCTGCTCCTCCTCCATTCATTTCTCTCTTCCTTTCTTTCACTCGTTCTTCTCCTCCGCCTCATCCATAATTCCACTCTTGCTCTTCACCCTCTTTATCGTCTTCTTTTTTTTCTTCTTCTTCTGGACCTCCACCTAATCCTCTACTTCTCTCCTACACGTAGGCTAAACATATTTGGGAACAAAGTTCTCTACAGGACAGAAAGAAATAATAAAAAAAAAGGACAAAAATCATCAGGATAAAATATACTGATAAATTCAGAGTGAAGCTCAGATATAAAAGACAAAACTTTAACTATTAGAAAATAAATAAGATATTTTGACCAGATTCAGCAGACAGATCCATGACTGGTCTAGTCTAACGGCTAAGCTAATTTAAATGACCTTAAACGTACCCATTTTCAGCTCCATCGTTTTCATTTAAGGCCTGTTGGAATATTTTGCATCAGATTTATGTTTGTGTCATTCATAACATCTGGCTGTTTTTCCTCTACAGTAATTACAGAGTCACAGTAGATTATTCTGTAATGAGCAGAAATGGCATCGTTTTGAGAGTTAAAAGGTCAAAACACAGTCCTTCATTTATTAAAGCCATCAAAACTGGAGACCATGAAAACTTATGAAAAGTTAAATCTTATCTGTCACTTGGAAGAAGACATTTACTCACATCCTGAGAACAGAACAGTTTTTTTCTCCCCCTGGTGCTGTGTAAAAACCCCGGTCTGCTGCGAACAACAACCTCCTGATTGCTACGTCTGATGGAGATGTAACATCAGCACTGCAACTTTATCACCATTCGCCCCAAATGGGAGTCATTTCATGCATGAAGTCGTGTCTGAGAGATTACGAGGAGGAGAAATGACGATAATGCAAGCGTGACACCACCAGCCTCCTCGACTCGAGCGGCTGAAATATTAATGAAATTCTAATTTCAGGGGGGGATCAGGTCAGACCTGCCAAGAGTTCAGCAGCAGCAGCAAAGCTGGTTTTTCAAACCCATCGTTACATATTAATGGACTCTGATCGCTCACTGTAGTATTGCTGGAGTGCAGTAAAACTCTGAAATGACTCCACATTGAGAAAAAAAAAAGAAAACCAACAACATAAAACCGAGTGGCTACGATAATTCGAACATTACATGATTTTATTTGAGTATTAGAAAAGTTTCTTCATCTCATTCTTCTTTATCTTTTCACTCGAGGGGTCGCCATGTTGGATTCTACAAGTCTACAAACGTCTTCCTCTCTCACCTAGCATCTCCATCATCATCTTTCCTCCATCTGATCTTTTAGTTGTTTATCTTGACAAACAATGACACCTATAAAATTTCATCGTGAGATTCAAAACGATACTAAACAGTTGGTGAATAGAAAAATGTCTATTCAAAGGCTGGTGTGACGCGCCACTAAATCCCATCTGTGCACCAGTGATCAGAGAGAGGAAGGAGGATCATAAATATATTATTCAAAGCACAGATAATATTGAGATGATAATGGCCTGGAAGTTGACGTCTGTGCTGATTTAATTTCCTCATGGAGCCCGACGTCCTGCAGCCTCCAACACCTGAACCAAGACAGAGTGAGCTGCATAATCTCCTCTGCACCACCTGTGCCTGTGTGTGTGTGTGTGTTCACACACTCAGATCCACACGGTTGCGGGTCTCTCCCATCGCACCTCCTGCACTCAGGGGAACAAACACATGTGGAGAAAAACACATTATTGATGTTCCAGGCTGAGGCCTTTTAATGTGTTTGTGTGGCTGCAGTCTCATAAGGAAGGTGGTGCAGTGAGGAGTGGGATTGGCTGAAGGGGCGAAGTAAGAAAAGAGCTTTTTCTTTTTTTTTTTGTTAATATCAGTTTAAAAAAAAAGTTTGTCATGTGGCGGCATTCAGTTTCAGAGAACAGTTTGAGGTGAGAGAAGTGGTATGAATGTGTTCACTGTTGCAGATCCTGTCGCTGCTGCACATGAGCAGCACGGTCTCAGCCTCTGGACAAACAGGTGAGTGAGGCTTTGATAAAAAATCTGCCGGCTTTCATGTGCAGCCGGGGGGCTGGGAGGTAGGGGGCCGCGACAGTGAAGTTCATCTATCAGAGCAATGAGACGATCAGTGGCCTGAGGCACAGACAGACTTAAAAATAACACCCGTATGAAGAGGCGGAGTTACAGCACGGCGTGTTAAACTCCACCGACTCTCACATCCTCTAACCCCCTGATCTAAATTCTCCACACTGATGACGTGGGACTGTCGTCACCCTCGGCCTAAAATTATCACAAATTTGGATTTCTAAAAACAGGTGCATGGTTGGCACAGATAGAATAGAGAAAATTTCAAACCAAATTGGCTCCTTTTGGGAATACGTACAGAAATGAATCATCGCAGAAGTTGTATCTAAGGTTTGGATCAGAAGAATCTGTTCTGCAATAACTGTTCAAAGCCTGGTCTAGGACTTCCTACGTTCTTTTACCTTTTACTTTAAGACTGCTATAACTATCGTAGCATAACTTTCAGAAGGTAGAAAGTCATCACTAGTGGAAAAGTTTTAAATGTTAGGATATATGGGGATTTGTCACTGTATTGTTGTTATATCTGACTTAAAATGCATACAAATACTGTAAAATTATTAAAATATTCCAAATGAATTTCCAGGATTTACTTATATCACAAACACAACAGAAGCATTTTTAGTTTTCTCTGAAAAAATCTTGATAGAAATACATAAGGAAAAGTTGCCAACATTTTTTTCCAACCCCAAAAAGTGTGGACAGTTCTGGGTCGAGACAGAAGACAGATCTTCTAACAAGTCTGCTGCATGTGAAAGCAGAGGAATAAATCATTCCAACAAACTGCAAACCAGCGCAGACACAGACAACACTCCTAGCAACTGGGTAATGAGAGGACAGGAAAGAGAAAAATCAAATCAAAACAAATGCTACCTGGCAACAGGTACACCCAGTGGGGAAAGGCGAAGAAGGTTTAAAAACCTGATGGGAAATCATCTTCATGTTTGGTCATTAACATGAAGGTCAAGGGTTAACAAGTCCATGACGTTACAGAGCAGACAGACACGGTTGTTCAGGGGATTCTGCTGATGTAACTTATGCTAATGAGTAGTTGCTCTTCGCACCAAGGGAATGGTACAGTTCACGTCCTATTTATCCACAGGTAGACACAGGTATGGTTTTGACCAAGAAAAACAACAAATAGCATGAAAGTCCACAGTGACTACTGAAGAGAGCACACTGTGTTAGAAATTCAGAGATCTTCATCAACTGTTTATTTTAATCACAAAAATCAAACCTTGACCCCGCATACTGGCATTCTCAGTTATCACTGATACCAAACTCAAAATACCAATGAGGATCCAGTACGCACGATGAAGCCCGCAAAACTTCTGCATTCCAACATGGTTCATCTAAAAAGACTTTAAAATGCTCCAAATGTATTTTCCTGCATAACAGGAGAATTATGGTAGTTGCTAGTTTGCCCTTAAACAGACGGGACTTTAGCTGGAAGGACAGTGGAGGCATCGTTGCCTCTACTTTGCATCTGATTGATCATTGCTGAACATTTCAGCTTGTGGTTGGTGAAATGTTCAGTTGCTGTTGTGTCTAGTTCTAGAACTAAACGGCAAAGGTTCATTTCTTTCTCTCAAGTCTCATGCCTCCGCAATCAATCCTTCCTCCCACATCGGGCAGAAAGTATTCAGCTAAGTTCGGCAGGTTCTCTGTTGTGCAAGAAGTGGGGACAAAAAAAGGAGAAGTGAAGAAATGAAAAGAAGAAGTGGGGACAAAAACTCGACAGGAAAACGTATAGTCTGGGTTAGCAGAAGAATGGGCTCTGATTAATGCTCAGCTTCATAAACAACAGGGTGCTCTGTTTGGGCAGGTCATTGTTTCTAACAAGACACTGAGTCCAATGAACCTCTGGTAGAATTTAGGAAAATACTTTGTTTTTCTTCTTCTTCTAATTTTGGAACAGCTGGAAGGCTGTGGGTTCAAAATCCAGCTGTTTGCCTATTCCTAGAAAAACAGAATAAACGAAAATCATTTTCTCATGGCAGATACAATGACTTTACAGTTTTTCATTCTCCAGTGGTTACCTTTCTGAGCAGCCGAGCCGTCACCCATGTGGCCTTAAAAAAACTGAACTCCACACAAATGGCCCTTCGGCAGCGCCTGAGACTGAGCATTAGCAACAGCACTAGGAAAACAAACAAATCAAGAGTGCAACTCATGCAGCCCAGACATCATTAAAAAAACAAACAAACTTGAATTTGCTTTTAAATACAGCAAGGTCAGGAACACAGTTTCATTTATGTTTACTTCTTCAAAAACACAATGTGAGGAAATGTTTGACAAAATCAAATATGGTCTGCAAGATCTGTGTTTTCTGGAGCCACGATGACATCCTTTGTAGATAAATACCGATGAGCTCATACTTTAAAAAAGGATAAATAGAAAAAAAACAAAAAGAAAATAAAAATAAATCCCAACACATCGTTTTTGTAATGTCTTAAGAACACCAGCAAAAAAATGCTACAAGTTAGAGCTAAGATACGCTAACGACGCTGAGGCAGTCAGTGAAGTTCTTTACACGTACAGAATATTAAAGCAAATGTACACAAGGTCAAAAAGCCTTGAAGCGTCAGGTTGGGTGGAGGAGGATGACGATGACGTAGCTGGTGGTGTGTGGACGTGTACGGCGACTGTGCAGCAGCCGTTGACTACGGTACCGCCCGATTGGGTCTCTTTGGAGGCGGAGGTGGCATGAGTGCCGCATCAGGGTCTGCTGGGTGTTTACGGTTCTGGGCTTGGACTCCCAAGCGGTCCACATACTCCAACAGTATCTCCTTGGTGACGGGCTCTTGGATGCTCTTACAGACGGCTGGAGGGAAGAAAGGAATAAGCACAAGGAAAAGGGACACAAAAAAACAAAACAAAAGGGCGTCACGACTCAGTCTGTTTTCAGGGTTTTTTTTAGCCGAGAAAATAAATAGCTCACCTTAGCAGCAGTCGTCTAATCACCTGAGCAACGGTTAGAAAGATCACTTTTTGTAACATTCAGCAAAAACATTCAATCTGTCTCAGTCAGACCCTACACTGGAAATGGAAACCAGCAGCTGGTTGCAGCAACAAAGCTCCAGAAGATTGACTGGCTGTGAGAGTACTGCAAAGCTACAAAGGAATCTAACTCCTCAGTACTGCATATATGATTTACATACACATTTTATTTTTGTTTATTTTTAGATATGGGTGACTGTAGCTGTTTTAATTTGACCAAAAATGACTTGACAAGACTTTGACCTCCATCTTCTAATTCTGAATACTGGAGTCAGAGATCATGTCTGCAGCAACGAGGCACAATGTTAAATGTCATCACATCCTAGGAAAATAAAAAAAATAATAAATATGCTCTGATGTAAGATAGACCTTTTTCATTTAACTTTTCCACCAGCCGCATCAACATTTACATCTCAGAAATGTGATTTTTTACGTTCCCCGTGAACCATAGTTAATTTATCACCTCATGTTTCTCAGATTTTCATGCCGGCTCGTGTCTTCCACCTCAGCTTATCTCTCACATTTCCAGCTGTACATTTCCTACTCCTCTCCCACAGCATCATGTCGCACTTTACAAAGCTGCCGGCACATTTTACACCGTGCTACCAAACACTGTATTTGTGCGACATGATTTTCTTTTTAATGGAACAGCACTATCAGTTGGGGCAAAACAGCAGGACTGTTGGTCTGGATCTGAGATAAAAGCCAAGTTTGCCCCCTGGGCTTGTGAGTGAGTGAGAGTGAGAGAGTGAGTGAGAGAGAGAGCAGTATTGGCTGCTCGTCTCTGGGCAGGTTGTTTTATTAGTGTTGCTTTTTCACAGCAGCTGCTCAACTGATAAGATGAGACCAATCCAAAAATGTAAAAAGAATATTTAAATAGCAGACAATGAACTGATGACGAAAAAAAAAAAAAAAAAAGCCCAACAGATTTGTGACCATTGCCTCCTGCTCTGAGTGACTCCTACATTTGATCCTTCAACATTTTTAACACCAAACTGCGATACAATGAGCCTGATGTCAGATGAAGAGAGAACAAGACATTACTCTCAGTTTGACGGTGAAGAAGGTGAGATATTTTTAAAAATAAGAGAATGTGCAGGAAGTCTCACCCATGGCGGTATCGTAGGAGTTTGGGAAACTCTTGTCGACCCTCTGCCTCATGAACACCCAGCTGTTGTTAGCAAAGGTGCACTCTATGATCTTGTTGTCGTATTCCTTCAGCTCCTTAGTGGCCTGTGAAGACACAGATGAAAGGACACGGACGCTTTGAAACATACAAAGGAGATAATGGTTTAATTTGGTAAAATTGTAGGGTGGTTGTGCTTTTTCCTGTCGTGGACGATTATTCAGTCAACAGAAAGTTTTTTCCCGTCTCATGAGAAAATTTTCTCCAGTGTGACGGACTGTAGTTTGGGCACCAAATGATTTGCTAAAATGTAGCTCAGACATTGGTGGCTCGGACATCAAGGTTGATTTTTTGCCAAACATAGTTCAAGAGTTCCCAAACACAAGACAAACGATAGCCTAGAATTAGCAAGGTTAGTTGAAAATACAGTTTAATTATGAGGACTTTTCTATAAAAGTCAAAAATTTAGTTGTGACACATTCTTGATTTGGAGCCTAAATGTTGCATACTGCTACTGCTCCCATCTGTTAGTATCTCTATTAGGATTAATAAAAAGATTTTTTTTTCTATAGGTGCTATCACAATAGCATAATCATGTAGATTTATTCTTGTTACGTACTTTACTGAAAGCTGAATCTAATGCACTGGACGATAGCTTTGAAAAAAAAAAACAGATTCTATGCAAGAGTGAGAAAAAAACAAACAAAACAAAACCATTTAGAACATGGATTTTCCAAGAATGAAAGCGTAACATGATGCTGCCCATTACCTGGTGGTCAAATACCTGAAGGAGATGTCTAAAACAGATACAATTAAATGGACTTTTGTTGAATTGCTGCTGGAGGACTTTTAGGCAGATAATGGACAGACACACCATGTAGACACAGACAGATACAAAGTTCAAGCTTCGCATTGTCAAAAGCAGCCAGTCTCTATGGCAGCTTAATCATATTCTAGTTTTGAAAATAAAATCCACTCTACACTCTGAGCGCAGTGCGTCACTGTTAAAATCCGTGAACATGGCAGCCGATAGTGGAGATCAAGCATGAGTCAATGAAGACATTTAAGCATCTGTTGTTTTTTTGCCGAGGGAGTCACTGAGACAATTCAAGGGCATAAAAAAAACCAAAAACATTTGAAACTGAATCTGCACTGTTGGCTTGGAAAGGAATGTTACATCAACACAAATCTAAAAGATAAATACAATTCACTTTGTTTTACCTCGACTTTAAAGAGGATCCTTTTTCAGAGAATTGTGTTGAGACTAATTGGACAAAGAAGCCAACGTCCAGGGATCATTGTGACCAAGGTCAGTGTGAGACCAGCCACGCCAAGAAAGTCACCGTGTTCCTGGCAGGTCATGAAAGCACAAAGTAAAAGCTCGTCTGATCTGAGAGCATGAGGCATCTGGGCTCACAGTGGGGAATGGAATCACACAGGAAATAAGGAAGTGTGTGTGGAAGGAACAATAAGCGAGAGAGAAAGACAAATGTCAAACTGTAGTCATGAGATAAGATTTTGTTTTTTTTGTGTTTTTTTAAACATCTTTTTGTGATCTGAGTTTAAAGACATCTGGCTCATTGTGAGGACAGACAACAAATGAGACCATGCTTGGATAAAGGAAAAATGGCAGCCTGAGGCAGGATCTCTGAGCTTCCCTGTTGTTTGACGCAGCACGAAGCCAGAGGGAAGTGTGAGGGGCAGTACAAGCAGGCAGGCGGGAAGGACGCTCTGCTTCAAGCCGAGATCTCTTCCTGCTGGTGGAGGGTGACATGTTGGCTGCCATTTCCCATCACCACTTGGTGCTTAATCTGTCCAAATCCATATCATTATGGCAGGCACACGTGTGCAGCCACTTGTCGGGGACTTTATCCGTGGAGCTCCCCATTAGATCAGATATACTGACGTCGCTGTTGTGCAGAGGAATCAGCTACTCTGAATCAAACTGACATCCTAAAAAATGTTACTTAGGGATTTTGTTCCTAATGACAACTCCCATGAGTCCATGGATTTCTAGAGTTTCTTATTTGGGGTGTGGTTTCGTAATACACACTTTTTACACACTCACCTCGAACCTGATGGATTCTCGTAAAAGAAGCCTGTTTCCCTGTTTATTAAACAACGTCTACAGAGATAGTGAGACAGACAAGTAAGGATTCAAAGCTCGTAATTTCCTTGAAAAAGACAGTTTCTGTTTATCTGGCCGTGTCTTTGTTTTATTCCTGGAACTAATCAGAACCAGCCCCGAGGTCTGCAACAATAGGAGGCTGGGTGTATTTTAATAACAAGAGACTAAATGAAAGAACATATTAAGGAGGGAGGATATAAGATGCAAAGGTATGAACTGGACCAGACTCTTCCTCCAGGGAAACAACACAGCAGCAGGGAAGTATTATTCTTTCAGATCAGAGTGCCTTCACTGCAGGTGGTGAACTGTACAGCACGACGCAGAACATTATCTAATGTCATAGCATTATAGCAGGAAGTGGCCTTCTCAAAAAACAACTATTGATATACCACTCCTAAATCCATTTAATGACATCAGCCGGGTTAGTAAGTAAAGGTACGGGCTGCGGGCAACGACCACCTACGAGGACAAGAACCTTTGACCTTGTGAAGTACTACTGGGTTCCAGGCTTGGCCGCAATCTAATCTTACAGTACACAATGCCTTTTGGGTAATTTATATCATCGTATCTGTAAAACAAAACAAAAACAAACAAAATAGTTTATCAATTTGAATTAGATGCTAAGAAAATGTTGATGGGTTAGAGCTAGTGTTCTATGAGAAATGAGAGAAAAAGTTTCTACAGAACAGAATCGAATTCAGAGGCAACTTCAATGGTTTATAGAACTCATTTAAAAAGCATGGATATGAAGTTTTGAAGCAGGATTTAATAGCATTATTGCAGCGTTGTTGTTTACGCCTCGTCTTCTGAAGTGCACAACACCTGCTCTACTCCGATGGTAATGACATTATAGGTAACGTTCGTATTAGAGGAGGACATTTTAAAAGTCTGTGATCTGAGTGACTGTTTTCACCACACAGGCCTAGTCGACGTCTTGTTATGTGGTGTGGGTGAAATCTGCAGATGGAGAGGCCAAAAGGTAAAAACAATCTGTTTTTTTGGGAGTTTTTTTTATGAAAAATGTGTAACTTCTTAAAGTTAAAAGTAACATTAGAATTTTTCAAGAATCTTATAAAAACCTATGGTCATTTGTAAACAATGGTAATACTAATAAAGACTTAATGAAACGTAGCACTGCTAGAAATAGAATAGCCCTCAAATAGACACAGCCAAACCAAATTCCTAATGTAGCTTGAAAATTGGAATTTTTTTCAATAATTACTCCATTTTCTGTGAAAGCTGATTAAGTCCCCTCAGGCCTCAGAGACAGGAATTACACGAATTAGAATCTACATTTGAGAAATGGTCTATTAAAATAGGAATTGGCCTTTGAAACAAGCTTTAATTCCAAACTTCCTGTGGGTGAGTGTCTTCAAATATAGGCTGCTGGCATTTGGGTTTGCCTCAAACTCAGTCCTACTAATGCCCAGTGTTGACGTGCAAGGCAGAAAGAACCAAACCCACCCACACTAGTGGACCATTGTAGTCCACAGACAGTCTGTGCACGTCATATTCATTAGGGACATTATTCAGCCTGTCATCACATGTTCACCAAATCACCCTCCTGCATGCAGTTAGCACTTTTTTCCGACACACTGTCAACTCAGTCTGACTGTAAAGAAACGTTGTGTAACAAGAATAGTGACATGAAGTTCAGACAGAAGATGACCTCAGGGATGATCTTTCACAGGGATGCTGAGAGAAACTGAGCAGCAAACAGATGCTCCACCAAGTTTGATAACAGAGCCGGAGGCTGAAACGTAGGGAGACGGCAAAACAGAGGCAAAAGGCAGCGCAAACAGAGAAGGAAACAACTCATTTACTGTATTAAGTGTCTACAACAAGCGTGCGTGAACACAGGCCTGCACCAAGGTCAATTTAGTCTAAGTAGAACATTTCCATACTAATTAACAGCACTACAGAAAAGCACTTTGAGAGTGAAATGGTCCGTCAGATGCACGACCTGAGACGAGACAATTTCCATAATGTTAATACACTGAAAGATGCTTCAAATTGTGGAGAGTGCTTGTTGTGTGTGATTGTATATCTGCATATGTATTAATGTCAGTCAGCACCAAGTGATATGTGTTTCAGTGAATACACCCACATCACACACACCCTGTGTCAACAAATGCTTTTCAGACTAAATACTGAAAGTAATTTGTCATTAATTATTCTACAAGAGGAGAGATTAATAAATGAATAGATTTTAACAAATTCTCCTGGATGTGAAGATTTTCAGTTCAACATATTTCACTTCAAGTTCTAAAAACACAAAACTGAACTGAATTGGATGTTTCAGCTCAACAGATGTTTAAAACATTTAAAAGGGACAGCATGAAGAATCTCAGTGATGTTTAGTTTGTCAGTGCTGTCAGATATTTTTTCTAAGCAAAAACAGTGCAGCAAAGGAGGTACAGGACAAAAAAAAAACAACCAAACATTCAGGAACAACAGAACCATCATTTGGAGGGCTGAGAGCCAAGTTTCTAATTAGACAGTCTGAAAAACCAGACTAGGCTGATGATTAAAAAAAATATTGCATGACTTTATAGTTTTGCAGTATCAAACCAGAAAAAAGAATGTAAAAGAAAGCAGGGATCTTTGGCTTTCAGTAGAAATTCAGACAACACATTTGTTTGCTCACCGACATGCTGGCGAAGGGTCTGTTGTAGTTGCCGACATATAACAGGCCGACGGTCTTTGTGAGCAGCCTGCGCAGAAGAGAAAAAAAAAGAGATCACAGTTTTAATAGAGTACTAATAAATCCAAATAAAATCACTCTGCCTTCTTCATTTTACCTCCTAGTAACAGAATGGCAGAGGTGTGAGATCACACGTAACTGAGCCCTTCTGTCTATGTGTGCGTGTGTGCGTGAGTGAGTGTCGCTTCCTATTCCCAATGTCTCTGAGAAAAACGAAGAATACTGGAGGCCATTAGGCGTTCAAGGCCATTACATCTCTGTGAAATGACAAGGACTGCAGACGAGGCCACAGAATCATACCACCTCCATCTGAGAGACAGTTCATTTACATTACATTCAAATCTATTTACACAATTCTGCGAGCGTGTCTGGTTGGTGACATGACGTCGAGCAGATGTCTTAATCACACACTCTCTCCCCACAATCTCCCTCCATTCAAAACACCCCCCATGTGCTGCTGACACACTGTTCATGCCACACACTGGGTATAAAAGTGCTGGTTTCATATTAGTGAACCATTTTTAGAAGCGGAAATAACGGGGCAGCGACAAGGCTAAATTGACGGCTAAGCTACATTTAGCCGGATGCACCTCTTTTGTTGGGAGTTAAATTTGGAGGGTCTTCTTTTCCGTCCACCACAGACCTCTCATAGCCAACACAGGCAGGAAGTACGCGTGGGAACCAAAATAACTATGCAGGTGACGGACAGTACACACATTCCTCTGTTTTCCATTTCTATTATTGGGACTTAATGAGTAATTGTGTGACAAATACTTATTCACTAAACTTGGAGGACTTGGAATGAGAACAGAATCGACTGTTGCCCTGCTCGAAGTTGCTCTTGTATCTTGAGGAATAATTTTAACATCGCTCAAGGCAGGCGTTTTACTTTTGTAATAACCATCAAATCTCTGCTGGTTTCTGACTCAATGGCTCAACTACACGACATCAGCCAATACCTATGGTTTGTGGTTTTTTATTTCACTTTAGCAGAAAAACTCTGTGCCATATTCTTTCATTTCAAGGCTAATAATAAATTACTATTATATTCACGCAAAAAAAGGAATTTCGCACCATTATCACAACAATACTAATGATGTGAAAGTGATGTCTGCAGAGACAAATCTGAATCTGTTTTTAAAACACCATATTTGTGCAGATGACTTCACGAGTCTTCCTGTCACCTCAGACGCACTTGTTATGAATCCTAATTGCACAAAATGTCTCTCATACAGATTATTTTCTGCTGCTTATTAAAATACATTTTGCTGACTACAGAGGAACAACTCACAAAGATAAAGAGAAGAAAAAAAGTTTGGTTCTAAAGTAAAATAAATGGTTTCCAATGGGAACTTTGGTTCTTTTAAACGAGTGGTCAATGACTCGGTGGGGTCGACCTGAGGGGGGAGGGACCCCGTCTGTGGATCTTACATGAACTACAGAGTGAGATGCTGTAATGACACTTGAGTCCACATGGTAGAAGGACCAGAAACAAGAAGCTTGGATGCCAGCCCCTGGAGAGCCAATCCAAAGACTGCCAGACAGTAATACTCCCCCTCGCTGGGTCTTCCATGTCACTACACACCAAATGAATAATGATGAAACCATTAGTCACTCTCTCTTGAGACAGACTGCTGGTTCAAATTATCTATAATTCAGAAAATCTATACCATACTCGAGACTATTCGAGTGCATACTTGGGAGGGGCACAATCTCGTTTTCTGGGATTACGCCAGCTTTCCACTATTTCTTTCTCCCTGCTACGATTTTTCTTCCTCATTTGCCTTTGTCCTCGCTCTCACAGAAGGTAATGAGATTTGCAGGGCTGTATGCTTCGACGGAACACAAAGACGTGCTCGAGGATTGATTGTGTGGGCTGACAACTAAACAGTTGCTCAGTCCTCAGATGTCTGTCCATCTCTTTTCCTAACACTCAGAGAGTCTGTTAGCCAGGGTGTAAAAAACAATCCTTCAAGTACGAGGTCTGAAAAGTTTTCCCCTTCCATTCATCTTCTGTGGGGGAAAAAAAATGAAGAATCTGACTAACTCCCCTGATGGCTGGTGGCACAGCGTGGTGAGTGATTGTGTCCCCGATGTGAAACATCATGGTGGCAGATTTATTGTAATATAGTCTGGAAAGCCAGCTTGGTCACCTAGCTGTCAGAGACAAGAGGCAGTTTGGCCAAAGAGCTGAGGACGATGAAGAAGTGTGCCTCTCGCCCTGGAAATCAAACAGCAGCTAGTGGCTCCACATCCTCCTGTTTGTCACAGTCAAAGAAATGCCTGAAACATCTGCGTGTTTGCCATGTTGAGTGAGAAACAAAAAAGGTGATTAAATCTTCCCAAGTTTTAGGGAAGATTTAATCACTTAAAAGGGAGTAATAATAATTAAGAAGCTTCACCAAACAGACATTTCTTCAGGGCTGCCCCCTGACAAAACAAAGGTTTTCTCTGGAAATATAACTGCACTGAACAGCGGTTGTATGAAGTGTCATTATTTTCTAGGAGTGTGGACTAAAGAATTTTAAATACAAACAAACTCCTGCTGGAATTAGAATATCTGATGTTAAGAATTTTGCTCAAATGCGTTACCAAAATCCAAAATCATGTGCTCAGAAACACGAGCAGAAGCTTCTCATTAGATAAAAACTGGAACGTCTTCCCGTCAGAAGACGATTGTCTCTCTGCAGAGTTGTGATGTTCCCTTGAACGAGAGCTGGGGAAGGCGCTCCTGAATATGAATAATTTATAGCACAGACCATAATAAACATAGAATGTGAATGAAAGGCCAACTACTGTTGTATTTTCCTTGGACATTTACTGTGGATCCAAGAAATTTCAGCTGTAAAAGACGACTGGGGAAAGAAATTAAGCTCAGATTGTAGCAAATGTCTTGGGGCGAAAATGGTACAAAACGATTTTGTTAAGAACCTGCTTCTCTGGGATGCACAGAGAAGATGCCACTGTATTTCTGTGTACATGTACGCGTGCATGTGTCTCACGACCATACTGAGTCTCACCAAAAAAAAAAAAAAGAAAAAAAAAAGACAGGCGTGTTAAACTTGTCAAATTGTATGTTTCCATGGCAACAGCGACTCACCCCTCTCCTCCCACTTTGGTGATCTTGAGACGAAAGTCCACCGAGTTCAGATTTGGGGGCTTCCACTTCAGAATGTCATCACATCTGCCAGGCTTGTACCGCTGCAATCAATGACACAATGCACAAATGTCATTATAAGACATGCTTATATATACAGTAAATGAGTTTGATGCCAACCCTCGTACAATAAAGATGCTAATATTGTTCCATGACTGATAATATGATATTGATTCTGTTCAGCCATGTAGACTTAATGGCTTTGTAATTGGCAATGTGCTGCAAATCTTCATTGAGTTAAGTTGTTGCTGTGTGTCTGCAGCAGAAACTGCTGCTCATTTTAAAAACGATTCGATGTCCATCAAAATAAATGAATTAAATGCAAAGATGAAACACAAAATCAGTTTACTGATAGAATAAGACAAAAATAAAATTCAAATACCCCATTATTCAGTTCCCTGATGAAACACATAACAAAATTGGACACATTTAAATTTAAATATCTTTTCAAAGAGTACCATTTATTTTCTTTGGAAAGCTGAATTCATCTCGAGTTCTTTCTAACAGATTTTGAAGGAGTTAAAGGGTTAACTTTATATTAACAATAATATTGTACTAATCCAGCTAACTCAGGAACAAGGGCATTCAAAACCTATTTGTAGAAAACACCGCAGGGTAGTGACGGCAACATGCCCTGTGTTTGCACACACACAAATCTAATAAAGCTTTTGTTGAAGAATGTCACATGTCAGAGACCTGATCATTAGGGGAAGGTGGCAACAGGAGCGGATCTGCAAACATAACAAGGCATACAAATTATGATTCACTGTGTTTGTGTTTCTCACTCATCACGAGCATCACACATGACGCACAAACACACACTGAACACACGAGTGCCTCTGATTGTTTGATTATGTATGCCTGACATTTAGGAGGAAATTAAACAAGTGCACTAGAACATGAGATGTGAAGGCATGACGAGTGGAGGCGGGAACAGATGACCAGATTCTGTCACAATCAGGTTGCCCGGTAACCGTCTACTCTGAGGAAATGTGTGGAGCGCAGACAGGATTTGTGAGAAGGACCTGTACTCTTACAAGGCATGGCTGAATCTGGAGTTCCTGTCTGCACATGTACAATGTCCTATGGCAGAACTGGTTGTCAGTAGAAGACAGGATCAGAAAACTACAATAATCCTTTACAAACCTCAGGGTTTTCTAACCGTTTCCTCATTTCTTTCTCACATTCAAACCCTGAGTTTTCTGACCTAGTTTTAATCCAGGTACTAGCCTTGAACTTGGTGTGAATACTTCATGGTCAACATGATGGAAAAAAAGACTGCTACAGATTAGAGTTCCTACTGAAGTATTTACTTCAGTAGTAGCAATTTTGCATTGCCAGTCATTACCTACATTTACCCTGTCCCGCTGCATCGCTGTTGCTCAGCAACTGCAGTAACACATGGGGGCCAGATTATCTACGTTAGGTTGGTCCTCTGTAGGCTACACACCACCTTCTTCTACCTCCATGGATTGTTCCACCTTCAGGATCAATTTGTATTGAACTAAACCGTACAACTAGACTATATAAAATATCTGTAACTAAATAGAAAAGAATTGGAACCTGAAGGTATAACCTGGGATCGAGTGATTCAGAATATCTTTAGATGCAAGTTAAGCTCAGCTGACAATAATTCTGTGCATATACATATGCCTTAAAAAGGTAGTATTTCAGATTCTACAGAGAGGGTGCACGGTCGTAGTGGCTGGCACTGTAGCCTCATAATGGTGGGGCGGGGGGTGTTTCTTGGGCATGACGGTTTATCAAAGATCTGCATAAATATTGAATTCTTAGCATTTCAACTCCAAAGGCAGTCAAGGACAGTCACTAAAAACTAACTAAAACTAAATTAAATTTTGATTTAGTCAACAACCTTCAAATCCATCTTTTTGTGTGCAATGGCAATTAAATAATGCTGTGGAGTTCACTGTTCACAGATAAACACTGAGAGCAGCTAGTGCAGAATGTCTTTCAGAATTGTCTGTGGTGAAGCTATGACTGTGAGAGACCTTCACTTCTCTATGAAAGGCCTCATTCACAACAACTAAAGAAGCACAAAAAGCTTCTTTTTTTTTTTACTTATGCAGCTCTGAAATGAAATAAAAAAAGTAATATATTTCGTCAATGTCGATCAAGTTCCCCACAGATGATCCTCATGTACTGCATATGTAAACAATTCATAATCAAATCTGACGTATGACAGCAGGCGTACACAAACCTTCTCAGTTATCCAAAAGAAAAATGCTAGAAATTCAAAGGCATCTATTGAAGCTAGTTTATTTTTCCTGCTTCTTTTCAGCAATCTGACATTTGCTCTAAATGATTCAGGGTCAGCAGTACCATGGCAACGATGAAAACAAAAAAAACCCATTCAATCTGCAGATGAAATAAAAAGACAAACTTCAAATTCAATCTAAAAGAATTGCCAGTTGCAGCAGCTTGTGTTTCCATCAATACTGTGGATAAAATAACAAACTAAGTACAGTCATACATAAGAAATGTCCCGTGTCCTAGTCTGTCTGTTTTATGGACATAATGTTGGATTACTTGTTAATTGACTGATTAATCTGGGTGTAAATACGCAGGTCACGACTGTCTGACTCTGAGGAAAACAAAACTCTTATAATGATGATGTCTTATAATATCCAAACACCTTTTCCAGCACATTACCCTTTTAAAGCACCTCTCACAAATCTCTAAAGCTGCATCATAGGAGGGAATGCAACACATTCATCTTACTACAATGATCCATGGGGGGGCGGGGGGAAATAAAAGCCAAACCTAGACATCTACAGAACAACAGGCTACTATATTAGACAGCAACTATTAGTCTCCTCATACGGTACATGCATCTCAATGATATCAATCCATTCACACACATGCATATTTTATGCAATTTAATTACCACATCATATCAAAATAATGAGAATGCTTCTGAATGGAGAGGAGCTGAAATCCACTCTGTATGCGTGACCCGGGCTTCTCTCCCATTATTGATCATTGTGCAATCCATTCTCCGCAGCGTGTTCACGTCATATCTACATGACAATGGTAAACTGACACCTTGACCTGATTTATTTCACCAATTCTCCTGTAAACACTCACTAGACTGTAAATTTGCAGTTGCCTTTCTTTTTCAGCCTTGCCATTTGTCTCTTAGTAAAATGAGAAATTACAGCAAAATAAAACCGGCTGTGGTTTTGACATTCAAATATTAGAACGGACCAGATGGACTTTAATTAAATGTAGAGATAAAATATTGAGAGACTGAGATGAAAAATAAAAATCAGATGTGCAAAAAAGACAGATTTTAACCTGAGTAACTACAAACACAGTAATCATAGATTTAGTGTCAGAGTACTTTAGAGAAATACTGAACAACTCTGGCTGGGGTTTGTGCTTAAAGACAAATTCTTTGATTGCAGTTTTTTTCAGCATCTCATTTAAATAACAGTTGTTTGGTTTGAGCCTTGAGCCTTTTTTTTCTAGTGAGCTGAGGATTACAGACAAAAGGCTGAATGGCTCCAACAAATCTGCTCCACAGAGGCGACCTATCCTGTTTCAGCTTAGACATACTGGCTGCTTTCATGCTGGATACATGAGTGTGTGTGTGTAAAATGTCACCAATATATTATTAGATTCCTTTAAAAACTCAGAAATAAAAATAATAATCAATCTAAAACACACCATGTGTACTTTGTTAACTTTTTAAGTGATGAAATTCTTAGAAAGAAAGGTCAAAAAAAAAGAAAGAAATACGCTCTTTGGCTCCTGTGATGTCGTCCCACAAGTAATCCAGCAATCTGCTGCAACCCACCTGCTACAAATTCAAAATCGCTTCACATTCACTGAGCAAAGAAAACAGATTCCAAGGACACCAGGTGTAGAGCGAGAGATAACGCTCGTGGTATCTCGGGCTGCTGCGATGGCAACCTCGGCGCTAACATTAACGGACAAATAACAACAAGACCTGGTGGAGATTAACCTTTGTGACCAACCCTTTAATCCGTTGCACACAAGAAGAGATTAACATCACATGAATGCGGGCAGACCAAAAATCAATAATCTGGAGCTCTGGATCTGGTGCAGTGTCACTGGGTTGGTACTGGGCCACTAACCAGTACCATTACATGCCAGTGTGGCGTTAAGGGACAAACTATGGTCAAAATAAGCATAAAACATAATAAACCATAGAATTGTATTCATTTTAACACTAGCACGAATGCTGCTAAATCGAGCCCAGTGTGGCCAGTTTAGATTTATCCAACAACTGCTCATGCCTAAGGAACTTAAAGTAAGAGGTTTGCAAAATAAAATCAATTATTTCTGTCTGGAGTTTCAGACTAACTACAGATCAGGAGCCATGTGACAAAGAGGATCCATTTGACTTCTGTTATCGATCCGCGCAACAAGGCAATTTTCTGTCTCCTGATGCTGATTCCACTAAATATAGTTATCAAGAAATATTGATTACAGATGAGCCATGTGTTTCTATTGGTTGCAGTCATGTGAACATATCCTTCTATCTTTTATATTTCCAAAAATAAGTCTTGTTTGGGGGGAGGGTGGGTGTAGAGGGAAATGGCAGAACCATGGAGAATTCTCAGATGGTGCATCAGAATGCACAGAGTGAAGTCTCCACTACAGGAGGTGCCATTAGGAACTCCCACTCAACACAACACATGTTGGCTCCTGCTGCTCAGCATCCTTTGCAAATAAAGGCTTATTTACATAGGCTGGCATACAAACAGGAGGCACATTCTCCATCAATAATACACTGACAGGGGGTGAAGGTCAAAAAGTGTAAATGGAAAAAAAAAAGTAAATAAATCCACAAAGTCGAAGAATTTATTTCAGATGATTGATTTAAGATTGATTTTAAGAAAAAAAAATCCCCCTTTTCACAGTATTATTATAACCTTAAAAATGAATGCTATTATATTTACCTTTTAAATATTTAAAACCCTTTTAGAAACTACTATAAGAACATTTTAGTGCTGCTCATTGTTGTGTTACTATATGGAGCAGGAGCCACAATAGGTTTGGTTTCCTATTACTGTGTCTGTGGGCTGTGATGCACTGAGGGCAGCAGTTACATTAATGTTCTGTTTGGCTCCATGATGGATAACCATCCAAATTGTTTAATATAAAAAGATAAGATCGGCACAGTTTCACAGAGCCAATAAAATTGGTCCTTCCATCATTTTCACACTTTGATAAATTAGCTGCAGACACTACAGCGCAGACTATTAAGCAGGCATTCACTTACGTTAGCCTTAATAATGTTTACATTCAGGTGTATGTCTCAGTGCAAGGAGTGAGGAGTTCATTTTGAGATAGAGGTTAGCACATCATAATAATAAAAGTAGGGTAGAAAAAAAAACGACTGCATTAACAACAAAAACTTGTTTGTTCATTTACCATGTTGACATCTGCAGGAAAAGGTTGTCATTTTGACCAAAGAATTTGCTTAAGTACAACACTCACAGCATGAGTTCACAGAGTCTGTGACTTCAGGTCAGACGCCTGGTTCACGTTACACCAGTCTGCCAGGGAGCAGTCTCCCAGACAGCAGGGCAGTAAGTTAGTCTACAAATGACAAGTCCTGTTTGGGTATTTTCCACACAGACAGTTTGTACAATAGGAATATAGGATGTAAAGTTATTTTGTGGAATACAGTAGTATTACTGTCAAAGAAAAACATTTGAATTTTTCTGATGTCTTAACGTATAAAAAAACTCAACTGAGTCATATTTTTTGTCTCATCACACCGTCATGTGAAGTTTTCTCTGGCATCGACCTTGGTGTTGACTGACAAGCTGTCAACGTAGGAGTTCAGTGGAAGAAAAACTGTGTTTGACAATCACCCTGTGGCCCAGGACTTTGAGAAATAACACAAGTGCAATAAATTGTACACATAGATAGAGGCTTACCCCGCATGGCTGGAAGATAAGTCCATCAACCTCATGGCTGACCTGGGACGTAAAGCTGCCTTCCAGAAGCTGAAATAAAAAGGACAAGGAAAATATATGTAGCTTTAGCCAAACAGAAAAGACAAACGACATCATGCAAGGCTGAAGGCTGTATCCTGGAGGGAAAGCCACAACATTTGATTTATTCAGTCTGTTATAGTTGTGTGACAAAAATAAAACCCAGCCATCTGAAAAACAAACAAAAAAAAACTATTGCAAGTATTGAGTTTCAGCACAAGCTCCAGGCTTTTTGTGCGACAAATCCTCCAGATCATAGAAACCGATGCCGGGCTTGTATCCATGCAGACTTGGAAAATAAGCGTTAATCTGTTTGATTGATAAGATTTGGCTCAGAGATCAATATCTGGAGCTTGACAGATCAGGCCGGGGACAGGAATAGTATCAAATCATTAAGTTCCTGATAAGTGGGAAAAGTGGATTTCATCTCTCCTGTAACATCAACCATCAAACACAACAGCTGCTGCAGGAAAAAAATATATATGGCAGGTTATTAGATGTGGGGATCCCAGGAGGAAGAGGAAGAGCCGCAGTACAATTAAAGAATATTTTCTGCATCACGAAACAAGAGTCGCTGCAAACATGACAGGGAAATAAGGCATCAGATAAAGACACAGATTACATAGAACTGGAGGGAAATTAGTACAGTTAATTGGTGGGACAAAACAGAGCAAAGTCCCACTATTAATGTTATGAACATTCAAACATTTCTACCATTTAAACTGACAATGAACCACAGGTCAACTTCGTTGGCACTAAAATAACTATTTTTTTTAATTACCAAAGGCCAAAGATTTTATTACAACATTTGAAAAATATATCTTTATTGTAACACCATGAAAAAATAAAAATGACAATTTATTAACTGCAGAAAAACAAAACAAACTCCCCTTTAGTGTTAGACCATTAGCTTCCTCCTGAAAGACAACCTGGATAAGCTTCTTTTGAAGGAATTCCAGTTCTTGTGAGAACTGAAACACCTACATTAGTGTTTGTTACTACTGCACTCTTAACAGTAACGACACATTATTCTAAGAAGTTGACACGGGGCTGAGAAGGAAAACAGAGCAAATAAAACATTAGCTCTTAGTCCCCAACAAAAGGCCTTTGAAGGTTATTACCTAAACGTACAAAAAAACCAACAGAGTGGCTGTCAGCAGCACCATCATAAGAAGACAGAGAAAGAGAAGAAGAAAACCAATCACAGAGTAAAAGCAGATTTGGTTCTGTTTTTGTCAAATATGACTATGCAGTTTTTGTGTTGACACAGCCAGTGTTATTCTGTGAAGGTTCTGATCAAGGTTGTGCCTTGAAGCACTTTTTCTTTCTCATAGATAACTTCTCCATGAGAAAGAAAAAAAAAGTGCTTTAAGGCAAAATGTTTAAAAGTTTGAAATACAGGTACAGAGGTGAACCAACAAAATAAAAGTTTAATGAGATGTAATGATGTTGTGATGGATTTCCAAAGTTCACGAGCACACAACAGTGACAGGGAAATAAATTGAGTCTGGCTGCAGAAGAAAACACCCCCAACATCACAGACATAATTCAAAACCAAACACAACATGGACTATGAGGTTACACATCTCAGATTTACGGAGATTACACTAATACCAACTTCTCAACCAAAGATTTTACATTTCTTTTGTGGAGGTTCATAATATTTGATTTTGTGTAGTTGGAAATGAGTGCAGAAATCCATAGAGGAATTATTACACCTTTCTGCAGCTGTAAAGGCAATTTTGCTTCGAGATCGATTTCGGTTTTATGTCCCCCAATCTTTATGGTATTATGTGGTTGTTGTACTGCCACCAAGTGGGCAGGAAAATCGCAGGTTTTGTAGTTTGGTGCAAACATGAGCGATATCCGAGGTACAGTTATCTCACCACATAAGTCCAAGAGAAGATTTTTTTTCACACTCTGCAGAGAGATGCACAGTATACATGGATGAGTCACTGACTCTTCATTTGAGTGTTTATGTCACGGCTCAGGCAGAGGTATGTCATGAAAAAAAATTAAAAAAAACAAAACATGTTGACAAGCCATTATGCCCTTCTGTAGGTTTCACAGCGGAAGTAGATATATTTAGTTAAGCAGGATAGAGTCAATAAAAAAGAGAGCAAATGCATTAGTGGAGCACAGTAATATCAGATATCATGGAGAAACCATCAAGCTGAGAGCAAAGCATTTGGAAGAGAAGGAACAACAACAACAACACTGCACTGAAAAGGCCTGAATGTCAGAACAGGGCAAACTGCTTTTTACCTTTTCCGACATGAAAGAGACAAGATAAAACGAAAATTATTAAATTACGAGAAGATGTGGACGTTGACAAGCTCAACACCAGAAACGTGCAACAGTGAGAGACAAGACGCTTTCACTCTGCAGGAAATGACAGATTGTCAAAAACACATCACATTAAGACCTTAATAATGGCTTCAAAAGAGAGTTGTGTGACATGACTATATTTAAACCTGTTGAAGGTGACAAACGGACTTAGAACAGCAGCACAGAAAGTGAAAGTCTGAGTTTTCTTGACAGTACAGTATTAATGTATTTTATCCAGAATTAGTCAAAGGGCAGGTAATGCAGTCTGATAAAGTCAATGTTTGATACAAAGCTTATTTATTCATATTATGTAGAGACTCATGATAACAGCAGAGGAAAATCATTTTTAAAGTTCTGTCTATATACTTTCACTTATTACAGGAAAATTCTCCAGCTCCACAGTAAAAACAATAAACAGCATAACACTAAAATAAGATATTTTTTAATGGATTCATTTATTGCACAGGATTAAGTCACGTATTATTGGGCCTGAAATGTTCAACTTTATTATGGCGTAACGCACACCTTCCTGATTCTCCCAACAGTACTATTCTGCAACGATCCGCAATCCCTTGGAACTATATATATTTCATCCAAGCATCAACAAGAGAGTGGGCTCTCTTCTTTTGCCGCACACAGGCAGCGTCTGCATGACGGGTTTCCAGAGAGATGAATAAGTCACGGCAGATCACACAGAGTTTGACAATCGAGCTGACACTGAGAAGGCAGAGAGCCAGACGAGAGAGAAATGGTGCCTTTATGATGGAACAGTACGTAGGCGTTAAGATCTGGGAGTTCCATTTCAGTTCTCCTGCCATCACAGAACACCCACCCTCTTCATCGAGCACAGTAAAGCTTGGAGAAGATGGGGGCAGGGGGAGATTTCCTATCTCACATCCTCCTACAGTAAGAAGGTTCTTTGCAGTGGTAATGTGGAAGGGGCTTGCAGTTACAGTGACCCTGCTTTCATGGTGAACCGTTTGGACCAGAACACACAAGTGTGCACTGGTACAGTAGAGCTGTGAAAAATGAAGTGAACAGTGAACGTCCCATTAAGAGATCAGACAGACAGCGGGGAAAAGGCGAGACAAGGAAATTGTTTGAGCAAGTGCTCAACAAATCAACGGCTGTCACATGACGTCCGTCACCCTGAGTTTGACTTCCTAGTGTCAGTGCCAGGGTTGTGGACGTTTGCCATTTCAGTGATTCATGGGCTACGATGGCGGGATACAAAAATAGAGTGAGTGATAGTGTAAAAGAAAGTTTCTGAGAGCACATAAAACTAAATTTTCTTTTTATAGAAGGTTTAAATAGAAGAGGGCTGTCAAATGATATCTTTTTGATATCTGACTAATCTAAAGGTACCTGGGATTAATCATTAAAAACAGAGACAAATCAATTAGTATCACCAATATTTCTGTATTCTGCTGGAAGAGAAAGACATATATAATAACAGCAGGTAGATGTTTACATTTCACACCTTGACTTCAGGGCTGCATATACTGTATACACACAGTACATATTGCACATATGTAAATAAATAAGACAATGGTGAAAATGTTGCCACGTTGGATATAACTTTATAGTTGAACCAACAGCACCTGTCAAATGCTTTGATCAACCAAAGTAATACTGTGGAGTCTCAGGGTGAGGGTTCCTTTTTTTTTTTTTTTCTTTTGATCCTTAGGATCTGCTTGTTGTCTGTTCCTGCTCACAGCTCTGAGTCGGTTTAGGAGTGGCGGCTGAGTAAAAGGCCGATGGGATGGATTGATATTCTGCTCAGACTACAGGGACTTTGCCCGAGGCTCCTTTCAAGCCCTAATGTGAATTGAGCTTCTGAAGCAGGTGTGCAGTTCCCCCTCAAATGAAAACAGCCCACATCAGAGTTTTTGCCGACGAGGCTGTCTGACCTGGGATTAAACAACGTTAAGTCTAGAGTTTTTTTTTCTTAAAAACAAAGGTCTGGCTTTTTTTTTTATCTCTGCACAAAATTAAGTTGTAATTTCACATTTTTATTCAAGATGACATTAAAAATGGGAGTTAGGACTTAGATTAAAGAAGAATGCAACAATGTAAGACAAGGACATGGCAGCTGGGGGAGGGTTAGAGGATGAGGCTAAATTTGTCATATATTTTTGAGAACTGATTTCTAATGATGCCTACATGGCACCTAAAATTAAACAGTTCTCTGCCCCTGCAGTATCCATCCTCTACTATACTGCTCAAAAGAAAGAGAGAGGACAATTTTAAAACCTTAAATGACATATTTTCCCCCATTCTTCATCCACAAATATAACTCAACTATTATGCAAACACAACAGCCAGATTTTCATCGCTTCTGAGGAAACAGCAGGAGACATACCCAAGACTCACAGACCAAAGAGCAAAATTCAATCTGATTAGAAAGTCTGGCTCTTAAAGCCCACCCCATAAACGGGATGAGGCTAATAGACACCAAGGTCTCTTTTCCATCTCAGACAGCTGGAGACTTGACAGCCAACGGAGGTGTGAGGTCAGTGAGAAGCAAGAAAGTTGCTGACAGCATCCAGCTAATGAGATCCGGTGATCGGAGGAGTTACTTTTTTTTTCCGAGTCAGGTCACTACGAACCTGCAATAATAACCAATCACAACGTGTGTGTGTAGTGTAAACCCAAAGGAAGAAGAGTTTTTATGCCAATCAAGGAGAAATACACTTATTATTTAACGACTCTTTCTAAGAAACGGCTGTAGTTCTGGAAAAAGACTGAAGGCCGTCTATGCAGTGGTTTCAAACTAACTGGAGAATACAGGAAGAGTCTGCAGGGTAATGAGGCTACTTCTGAAAACGTTTACAGTGTCACTTTTTTTGGTCTAAATTCCAAGTTTCAATTTTTCGTGTTTATCTTTTGGTCTAAATTCCAAGTTTCAATTTTACATGTTCATCCATTTTTATATAAGCAGATCTGAATTAACATATACAACATTACACATCTTCTTAATTGATTATTGTAATTAGAAAAACAATGCTTAAAAAATTAAGCAGACAGTTATAATAATAACAATAACAATAATACTAATAAAATATATTGCCTGTGTGTGTATTTTTGTATGTTTGCTTCTTGCAGCTGGGATGTTTATCCAAGAAGGACCTAATGTTTAACAGAATGGCTTGGCAGGAATGTCATGACATAAAGAAGGGCAGAATGAAAGGGCACAGAACAGACAAAGGGCAGTAGAAAAAAAATCCACAAAGCCGGAAAAACACACAAAGGTCCAAAGAACAACTGAAGAGAAAAAAAAACCCAGCAAACCTGACCCAGAGGACACATGTTCCTTTCCTACCGTGCATTAATTCCAAGCCTGTGAGGCACATGGCTCTGCTGTGGCACACATTCAACATCATTCTCCTCCTGACTATGACCTTTGCTGTAAAAGTGTGCTGCGTGTACTCATCATCAGGTCTTGCATGAGGTCGAAAGGTTGAAAAAAAAAAAAGAAAAATGATAAAGAAAACCTCAAAGTATATATAAATATATCAAAAGCCTCTGTGCTAAAACATTAGTCATGGAGTCGTGTAATCAAAGGCCCTCAAGAGTAAACGCTCATGTGGGCGAAACCACAGACATGAGGCACGGCGACGATGCAGGTGAAGTATGGAGGATTGGTGTGTGTGTTATTGAGGCCAAAAGTGCAGCCTGGTGGACATTTAGTCACTGCACTGAGTCAGAATCAGGTGGAACATACCATCCATAGAGGGGGAATTAATCAGCCGACATTTGTCAGGTAAACAAAGAGAATACAGAGGAAAATACAGTCAGACAGGACGGATTCATTGGTAAATATTACCCACATTGACCACCTACCTACGGAACTTACAAAAAAAAAAGCTTCACTTACTGTAACTATCTGCATACTTTTTTTTTTACTTCCCCACAGCTTACATTCCCCAGTAAATCAATTATCTCGGCTGTTTAATATTCAGTGAATATACCTCCATCCGTAATCCCTGCTGCTGTGATGAGGTTTACGATCCAAGAAAATACTGTAGTTTTAGTTTGGAGTGACTTTTAGTTCTCAAAATAAAATTTACAAATAGCAATATAAAAAAGAAGAAGAATCCTTGAAAAAACCAATTCCAGAGACTTTCCTCGGATCACTGCTACCTGGCCTCCTGTGAGATGTTGGTTGATGCCCAAAAGTCGGCAAAAAAACCCATCTGTTCAGGTGGTTATTTTTTTATTGGACTATGAAGTCTTACATTTGACCTAACTGCCAATTTCAGCTAGAATGGTTTTAGAGCCTGCAAAAAATTAGTAGGTTTTTGTCTGTATTTTCCTTTCCTGTAAAAAACTTTATAGAAGCTTTTAAGAGAGATGCTACGTTACTGGTGTGATTAATAATAATATTGTAGAAGCTGGAAATGATTTGCTCACTGCAGATATACACACAGGAGCAGCAGTGAAGGAAATCGGGTGGATAGAACGGTTTGTACCAGACTTGTAGGTACATATACTGAGCACACGGTGTGGAGAGATGTAATACACCTGCAGGCAGGATTCCTGCAGGATTTAGGAGTTGATTGGATTCTGATACTCTGGGTTTCTGGACATCTTCAAAACAGTCCTGTAAAGTAGCACATTTCACAATTTTTTAAGAACCTCACCTTTAAATCCTTCCTTTCTTTGACCTATTTTGTTATTGTATTTGACAGTATCAGGAAAGGCTAAGATATAAAACAGTGGGAGTAACAACAACACACTGTGGATTACCATTAACAGTAAAATCAGAGTGAAAGAATGGATGTCACTGCAGAAGCAGTATTTTATAGTAACTGTAAAACTTGGCTGATATAAAATACATTACCAAAACATTACACCAAACACAGCTTAAATAAAATCTTCCTTAAGAAGACATCCGAAGAAATGTAGTGGGAAAAAGTCTACGGATGCTAAACCCTCTTGATCCACACTGTACGTTGTCAGACTGGTCCATTCAACCTAACACACGGATGGGAAATTCCCAAAATAAATTATCCTGCTGTCCAGACACACAAATCCTGAATTAGAAAAAGAAAGTCTTTGTAAGATAATTGACCAAGATGAGGAAGCAAAAAAAAAAAAAAGAACAAATGAACCCAATTGGTGGGGAAATGGCAGCATGAATGTGTAAAGTGTCATGGATGGAAAACAGCAGCCTAGCAACAGACAAAAGCAATCATACAAAACCCCGGCCTGTGACTGAAACATCCCCCGAAAGGAATCTCAACAAGACGAGTCAAGGCGGTGGGGACTGGTGTTGCTATGAATTAATGAGACAACTTCCACTTCTCCTCCTCTAATGTCTCGTACAACAGAGATACGACTGTACGAGGAGCAGATGGCCAGCAAACGACACAATGGGGCAGTCAGAAACCAGACAGAGCTCCAGTGACTTCATTTTCAGAGTATCTTCATCAACATGGAGGACGAAGACTTTTTTTTCCCCAAGGTCAGGGTTACATCAGATCAGAGATCACTGAAGAGTTCAAGCCAAGAATTTCACAAAGTCCAAACAACACCCGGAGCTTGGCGTTTGGCACAGGAAAAGAAGACGTCCAAACGTACTTTGGTCATTTATGAGAGTGCAGAACAAAGACTTGAACAAAGACAGAACGTGGCTGATGCTGGCCTTAGTTAAACATCTAATTAATGAGCTCTTACCTCCTACACACTGGAGTGCAGGGGCACTGCTCCAGCACTGATGTCTTTCATGCACCTTACTGACAGAGTTAATTTATGACATGACATATACAAGGGAAAGCATATAGTATAACACATAAAATGCATAATGGTATGCAGCAGCCGCAGCATTATCATGGAAAATGTATTACACATGGTCGTATAGTGAAAGCTGCAGTGAGACGTCAGTGGCTCTGCAAAATATAATGTCTACTCCTTTCACTTCTGCTGAATTGGAAAAACAGACTTATGTAAGCACAGTATTCTGAGCTTAACTGCCATATGTACATATGTGCATCTCTGACAACAGAAGGAGAACACAGAACGCACTGGAAGCAGAGAAATCAAGGCTCAGTTCCTGTCTTGACAAATGGTTAGAATCAAATGGTACAAAATGGATCAGTTTTTTTTCAGCCTGTGTTGGTTAAAAGGAAATAAAGCAATATATGTAGTGCATGAAACGTTGAAAAAAAAAACAGGATTTTTCTCACGTCCAAAACATCTGTTGTGGAACTGGCATTAAGATTCCCCACAGTTGAGTGCTCAGGTCTCTTAAGCATCTTAGTCAGTAATGATTTGATCCACCACAGTGATTCAATCAATCAATACCTGACTTGGGAGGGGAAAAGATGGAAGCTTGTATTTTGTAAGACTAGGACATTAAAAGCCTTTTGATTTATTTTTTTTAACAAGGACGCAGTTGGTAATCTGATTGGAACTGCACCTTTTTATAAGATGCCAGCAAAGAGCTTCTCTTTTAGGAGAGTGTGCTGTAAAAGACTAATCACAGATGAACACCTGAGAGAAAGAAAGACTTGCATTGATGAAATAGAGACAGTGCAGACTTTTTTGTACACCTCTGTGACTACACAGAGGGTTTGGACTCCAGTCGTGAAATAAATTGAGGTGGCAGTGAGTCATGAGCAGATTTAAGTGTTTCTCTTACCTTTCGGGATGCATGGATATCAAAGAACGGCTTATTCCTGACGCTGAAGGGTTCCTTGGTTTTGTCAATCTGGCCGTTCCTCATCTTTTCCATGCGCGGTGAAATGATTTCCTTTTCTATGCACAGCAGGCGGGTGTTGAAGTCACACTGGCCGACAGGCTGTCCCTGAAACACGCAAGACAAAAAATCCCAAAGAACTATTATTAAATCAAACCTGAGAACTGGAGGTCATTGGACAAGTGCATATGAAAATATTGACTTTCAAAAATTTCTGTCTCTTTCGAGGGAAATTTCCTGGATATGATGACTGTTATTGATGTCGCCACAACAAAAAGATTTGATTTTGTTCAATCTTTTATATGTAATCATAGAATAATGTAAGATTATACAAGCATTGAAACACACACACACATATATGTATATATATGTGTGTGTGTGTATATATATATATATGAGAGACATTTTGTTATCCTTTTTATAGGCAAAGGAATAGGGAATAGGTGCCATCGAGGCAATCTGTTAAACCACTCACAGCGGCAGATTCTTTAGTTCCTGCCTCAGGCTGTTAATAAAAAGGCTTAGAAGGAAATTAGTGCTGCACTAGAGCAAAAAGATGACTGTTACAGCCACTCAGAGGTTCAGAGCCTGTGTATGTGAGAGTCCTCAAGGATGGTGTGGCTTAACTACCAATTATTACTAAGTGATTAGACACAGTGACTTTTTTGGCTTGAATTAAGTTTGGGGAGGAAAAAAAATACAATGTAAGAATATGTAAAGAACCACAGTTTACCAAAAAAGTTAACATTAAAAAAAGTAAAACATAACAATGAACACAATAAAAGTGTCTACATCATCATAAAAAATCACCTTGAATTTCAACAATATTGTTTTTCGTTGTCTGCCAGTCCCAGAAATGAAAATCAAAGGCATGATTAAAAAGAATTTTAAAAAAGTATGCAGATGCCCTCAGGATCCAATATTTAGGAAAAAATAAAACAAAACAAAACTGAGTGGAGAAAATTGGACCAAAATAATAAAGTGAAATCAAATCAAACAAAACATAATGAAAAGAAATATAACAATTAAAACAAAACAAAATAGAATAAAATAAAATCATTTTATTTTTCAAACCAAAGCCTCTGTCAAACAGCCTCAAATTGTGAAACACACACCATATGATAAATAAATTAAAATGAAAGTGATTAAAGTTACAAAATAAAAGTATGGATGAGTAATCATGTGACACATATACACAAGAAAAAAAAAAAAATACTATATATATATATTTGTGTGGACACCTTTATTACCCGGCTTCACCCAGGGGGTTGCAGATCAATACTTTCTCATCTATACAGAGAAGGACTAAGCAGGGTTTATTTGAGAGCCTGGGTATTCTGTTTTTGTTCTCGCCTGGTAAAAGACAGGGTTTATGTGAAATTATTAACCACAGAGGGAACAAGAGAGTTGATCAACAACAAGGTGCGATTGGATGCAATTAAGTTTTTTGCTGAAAACATGGTCACAAAAACAAAACATTTATAGGTGGCTGTGGTATTGGACAGTATTCTTTTCAACAGTTGAATCTTGCATTATCAACCGGACTACTTTTATATTTATGTGTCCAACAGGGAATGAGAGAAGAGCCAGTCTTGGTTGCAGACTGCTGTGAGCAACATTATTAAACTGAAAAGTCACTAAATCCAAAAACTTAAGAGCTACAGGGGGTTGACAGCCAAGTTTGATATTTTTCCAGGATAACTCAGGAATTCCTTGGACATGTGACTGAACAAGAGCTGAAAATAAATGAATGCAATTGCTTGAAGAAAAACTAGCAGTAATGTTTTTTTTAATTTTGTTAAGACACTATCGTATATGCTGTTGTCTGCTAATCACCATGAAAGAGTGCAACTGTTGAAAAGTTATATAGTGTAATAAATGAAATGTATAAAAGTCCCTGAGAAAATAAACTGTTGAAAATAAATGACAAACTAAATGTTATAATCTGGTTGCATGTATGTTTTTTTTATTTTTCAGTCTATAACGCCTCTAACCTTTCATGAAATGTTCCATTAAAAACCTTGACTGTTTAATGCTTGGATAGAAGAATATATAAAATACAAATCAATATTGTAGCGCAGGTTTAATCACTTTGGTTTTGCCAATAGAATCTGAGGCGTTGTACTAAAATATCTGTACAAAAATATCTGCCTTTCAACCATGTTGTCCTATAGCAGGAAGACTGAGACGCCAATTGTCGACCAATGAGTAAACACTAACAATTTATTATTGGAAATATTCCACGTTTTCTTGGGGCTGGGGGGGATTTGGGGTTGTGTCTTGCACAGCAACAGTAACAACTCAATTTCAGCACCTAATCAACCACAAATAAGGTCAAGGCCGTAACAGAGTTTCAGCTCTGATTAAGGCGTTACTTTCAGGGCTTCGCTTTACTTTCACTTCAAGCACCACTGTGGTAAAACACTCACAGACTTTTGAGATTCTCCCGCAGCAACAGCTGGGATGTGTCCCACACATACCTCACCATCTGTCAACTGTGTCATCAAAACAGATTAAGACGCAAGTGCCGATGATTCAAAGCGTGTGGACAGTCTGCGCCTGTTCTTCAGAACACAGCAGTTACGAGGCTTGTAAACCCCAACATCCCCTAAAGTGAGGACTCGTCGAAGCTGCCCCAGATTTTTATTTCATTGTAAATGGTTGTACAGAAGGTCATTCCTGGTTATTGGTTTCAACCATTAATGCCATGTGTCTGCTATTTGTTCTGCTCAACGTCCATTTATAACCTTCACTCTGTGCACATTGGATGCTTTTTTTTTTTTTTTTTTTTTTACACAAAGCGGCAATTAGGAGAAGTTAATACTCCATGACGTGAAACAACTCTGGCACTATGCAGCACACAGTCCAGAAATGCTGCATGTGAGCTTAATTTTAACTCTTTAAAGACTTAAGTAGAAAAATGTCTATTATTCGACATTATGACTTCCATTGTAACCAATTTCTGCTTCTTAATAAAATGTTGAGGCCTAAAGTTTTTATCAACCTCATCACTAATTAAAAATTGGTTGAATCTAGGGAAACCTAATTAAAACAATTGCAAATGAAAAATACTCTGCATTTTTCCTATAATGCATTGCAGTCTAATCGACACATGAACGGAGGAGGAAAAACAGTGTTCCACATCTCATGCATCGGATCATAAATGTCATGCTTTGAACATTTTTGATTAACTTGTAATGATAGCAGTGTTCAAAATTAAATGCTGAGATTTGGTTTTTACATTTCAACGCTGGTTATGTATAAAAATAGAGGATAAAAGATGATTTCAGACCAGAGTTTATTTCTAAATCTGAACAGTTCTACGACACAGAGTCAAACTATTTCTTTAGTTCTATTCCATTTGAATTAAACCTAGGAATAACATGCTGGTGAGAAACTACAGGATTAGAGGGAAGCATATTAATCAATTCCAGAAAATGAATCCTGCACTTTTTTGGTCCAATGATTTCTAAAATGACTACATTTTCTTTTTCTCCCAAATGTACACATGTTCAACCTGATAATAAAGGTGGACAAGGTTAAACCCTGTCCTCAACTTGTTGCTGGAACCTTTCAGAGACATGAAGGGAGAGGCTAAGTAACAGTAAAATGTACTACTATTAGGTAAGAAAAATTTGTGGATTTGCAGCAGGTCTGGGTATCCAGATTAGGTATAAAAGCACAAAACTGCCAGTTTAAAACAGTGCTACTCACACAGCTCAGTATACAATGTCATAAAATGGATTAGACAATCAGGACCAAAGGCAACTGCAGACACCACTGCTGAATGTGAGTAGACACTCAAAAGTACTTTATTTGTCTTAAAAATAATAAAAAACAAGTTAAAGTTACTATAGCATTTTTAAAAGTAGGATCTCTGTAAACTGGTTTGAATCCCAACATAAATGTCGTAGCTTTGATATCGTCTTTCAAGCAAATGCAGTGTCAAGTTAGGCCACAAGCCCAGCAGGAGGCGTCTTCTGCCGCCTGCTGATTTTTATAAACTGAGTGCCACAAAGCAGCCCCGCCACAGATAATGGAGAGCGCTAATAATGGGCAGCCAGAATCGATACAACAGCGCTTTGGTGACGGTTCAGGGGGAGGGAGATGTGAGTCATGTGGAGACACTAACCTCTGCACTGTCTCACAAAAACTTCCCCTCATCACCCGGGTCTTTATTGAGCCACTTGATTGTGTGATCCTACAATCAATAGGAGGCGAAAGACAAACATAATGGCCAGTGTAACGGCCTCTCCAATCTGACCCTGACTTCATACTGAAGAACTTACGTTTTTACATATGCAGTTGTAAACATGCATACAGTACATATATATTAGCTATATATGGCGCAGTGAAGCTAAAGGAAACATATCTCTCCCTCGTAAAAAAGCTTCAGAAAACTTTACAGCAGTTGAGTTCAGTCCCACTGCTGGGCTCGTGGTCAAGGTTTAGTAAAGCCAGACACTGAGGTTCAACCTTGAAGGAAGCGGACAACGTCTACACTCACTCCCCTTATTCTGTCCCAGATCTTCATCTGGCACAATTTCAGGTCACACAGCAGAATCAAAAGGCACAGGGCTACTCACGTTAAATTTGATGATGTCGTATATCAGATAACGGGGGACTGGCTGGCCATTCACCTTGTCGATAATCATCTCCTGCATAGATAAAGAGCAGAGACAGATCAGAGGAGTGGAGGTAAGAGAAGCAGATGCATAAAGCCTGAGATAAGATTGACAAATGCAGCAAAAATAAAAGTCTGTATCAAGGCGCTGCTTTGGGACGTTCAGGGTTAAACACAATCTCCAGTGGTTGGATGTTCCGAGGCAGATAGCTGTGGTGACGGGGAAAGGGGAGCTGGGAATTGTTAAGGCGTGTGTGTATATATATGTGTGGAAAAACCTGGAGCAGAAATAGCAATGCACATCCATTATGCAAGACTCTAAAGTCGAGATTCAGGTGCAGCGGTGGTGCAGCAGGACGATCAGCAGACACATGAATAATTTTCAAAGAGCTGTTACACAACCACGCCAAGTTATGACCGCAGAGGAGAAACCTCAAGTACGGTAAATGACGTGGCGTCTCTGCTCTGGTGCTTCACCGCGGGTAAGTTTGAGAATAAATCACAACAATTAGTCCACTGTGCTTTATCACCTACTTTATTATGCCTTGTTAAATATTTATTCTACTTATTACACTCTACACACAGACTTATGGACAGAGCAGTGGGCGAAGATGTTAACCGGGAGTTTCAGCTAACCCAGAAAAGGAAGAGAAATAATTGAATCAGAACTTGCGTATCGTTATTAAAAACTTAAGCTAGAGATTTTCTGATAAAAGAGTGATTGCTTTTTGAAGTTAAAGGGTTCATTGCTCCCTTCTAATCCGTGACACAAAGTTTATAAAAAAGCACTGCTGGGAAGCAGCATCTCTGCACACTATGTCTTTATTCTGATGAAGTACCTTTATTCTGGCACTGGCACAGTTAATGCAGAGTTTTATTTACCCTCATAAACAACAGTATCAAAAAGGTCATTTTGAGAATCCAAACTTCACTGAAAATAAGGTTTGAACCTTTTCTCTCTTTAAATTGAGACAAAAAAAATTGTCTTAAGAAGTAGGTGATTTTTATACATTTCCTCTTGAACACACTTTATATCCCTGTTGGCCAGCTGCACCCTGAACTGTCTTTTCAGCAGTCCTTCAATGAGTCTCCGAGGGGCCATTTCCTGCTTCTATACGGGCAATAACCATAGGTTTTCTTACTCAAAAAACAACAAAGTTAAAGAGTCAAACTGGGGCTGAAAATACTTCAGTAAACAGGAGACATCGGTGGAGGAGAGGAAATTGTGTATTATCTGAAGCCATTTTTACATATATCCAATGTTGGATCACAACTTGAGCTAAAGCTCAGTGAAAACTGTCCTCAAACCTTGTGGCTGTAAATACAACACGGCTCGGCTTCGCTCTAGGTCTTGTTGCAAACAGCCAAACACGGTCTCAGTGCTGAGAGCCAGAAGCGTCAACAGATGAATAAACACCAGTCAAAATAAACCTTTTAGCAATTTAGGTACACATTCGCACTGTTGGTTCAAAAGGGAGCAATTAGATGAAGAACAAAGTGAAGAAAAGTGATTTCAACACATCACTTAACAACCGTTAACACAGTAGACACAAAACAAGAGCAGCAGCAAAAGAGACACATTATGGCAGATTATTTCTAATCAAACATCAGGACGGTTGTCTGAACATGGAGCAATGTTTCTCAGCTACAGAGAGGAGAAATAACAATAATAAATAATTCCTGCAAGTGCACCTGCTGCTGGGAGCAAAAGGGACCCAAGTTACCTGAATCCCACAGACATAAAAGGATGAGCCTTGTATCACAGTGTAAGGATAAGTCACCAATCCCACGTGTCACCTCTGGGGGTTCACTGCAGACAATTACAGTGCATCACAGCGTGGAACAGAGTCACCAGTGGGGGAAAAAACTGTAAATTGTCATATTAGCTGTTTCTGCAGGAGCTGCTTCATCAAACACTCCCATGGTCTGTGACATGCTCGACCGTGGGACTGTGACACGCCCAGAGGTTTTAGAGACTGGTGTCAATTATCTGCAAGACTGAGCAGACGCAAGCAAAATGTAAATGTGACCAAAGGTGGAGCGAGACAGGAGCTTCATCTCCAGTCAAGAGAAGAAAATAGGAATTTCTACAAGCTTCAAGAAGAAAGAAAGTTAAAGAAAATACAAGAACTCACCCCATCCATTAGAGTGTTAGATAAGTGGACACGTGGATCCTTGCGGAAAGGAAACTCTAGGTTTGCTATGTGGAACACAGTGTTGTCCCTGTCGACCATGAACACTTCATTTCTGCCGTTGATCACCATCATGTACCTGCAAGAAGACAGAAAATTAAGGGTTTTGCAGATGTTCTTACAGGTTCCCCGAGGGCCTAACCATTTAAGGAAGCACTAATGTAAAAACATTATCGCAGAGCAAAGCAAGATTTTAACCGCCTGCTGCCCCTTCATTATCTTGTATGTATCTGGAAAATTACATTAAATTAATTAAGCTGCTTGGATTGCACTTTTGGTGTCAAAGTCAGTTCTACACCAGCTGCCGTTTTCTCCCTGTATCATTCGTTTTTAGTGCTGTTTCTTTAGATATGCAACATGTCCCACCAGCTGCACCACAACCCACTGCATCACTCTACATGCACAGATAAAAACACTCCCTCAGGTGTGTCTCAGAGGTCCAGTGCTGACATGAATCAGTGATTTAATGTCAAGATGAAGTCAGTCCCTCAGTTTAAGGGAAAGAACACACCCCTCCCTTAAACATCAACACTAATAGCCCTTAATCGCATGCTGCACTTCTACCGAAGCTGAGGCTGTTTGTGCATTATTACTTCATTTTAAATGGTCCATGTTAATTATGTTTTTAAAGTTATTGGTTGAGGAGGAGAAGAAAAGAAAAAGTTTGGGCTCAGTTCAGGCTATTAACCCAACAAATATTTCTCTGTTTCTCTAATATGCAAATATGTTGCACTTTGTTCTAATGAAACCAATAGACGATGGAGCAGGAGCTTTTATCATGCCTGGGAAAGGAAGTGCGTTCACCATCACCACACCTCTTGATTGTAATATATTTTCAAAGCATCCAGCACTTTCATCTAACTCTTCTTAATTAAGGCCCATCAGTGCAAACAGAAAGCATTTGATCAAAATGGCTGCTTTAAAAAAAAGACCTTTGACCAGCCACTGCTCATGAATACAGCAGGTGGATGTTTGATAAACCAGGAGCATTACATTTTCCTATATCACAGTCACTCCTTTAATGCAGCACTCAGGCGATCACAGCACCAGACTGTATCATTGTCATTTTCTGTCTCATGTCTGATGCTAATCTGCCCTTGGACTAATGGTTTGTGGAGAAGGAGAAGAGAAGGTGGGCAAATGACAATGCAATGACTTAATATGTAGTTTTCTGACAAAACATTATTTGTTAATTAATTAATTCAACTTCTGCTTACACCTCATCCAAACTCTATACAGAAACACCACGGATCAATGCACCCAGTCATCTTCTTGCTGTGAGGCAGAAGCAATGACCAGTATCACAAAGTGTTGCTTTGGTTTCATTTCCAGTCCTTCGAATGCCACTTGGGCAGCTGGGTAAAATTATTACAAAATGATAATTCAAGTGGGATGATGGGAAAGAAATGTTTGAACTGTCTGGAACTCGTATCACCCTCGACAAGCACACACCCTAATACTGAATCAATTCCAGAGTGACGAGCATCCAGGCCAAATGTTTATTGTTTGATCAGCTCAGTGGGCTAACCACCGAGTTGGCAGACTTGGCGAGCGCATTCAAATAAGGGACAATAAACACACATTGTTGATCCACTCTTCTGTCGGTTTCTAAAGACAAACTTGACGAAATATATAAAAAACAAAAAGCAATGGCACCAGTGTTCCCTTTGTGCCTCTTTTTCTTCTTCTTCTGGCTTAAAAAAAAACGAAAAATGTATATTTAATGACCTTGAAGCCGACAAGATCCAGGCTTTTAATTAAAATATTCCACTAGATGTCAGGAAGCAAAGATCATTATAATAATGCTATCCTTCTGCTACTGTGCCATTTTCTGACCTAAGAATTACAGTATAACCAAAAAATATATATCAAAAACATAATGTAATAAATGAAAAAAAAGTAACCTGTGATTACTGGGCTAACAAAGTTTTCTACTGAATGTATTAAAGCAGATGATGAACTTTGGCTATTAATTAATTCTATTTTTTTAGGCTCATCTTTTTGTTTCCAACTGTACAGTGTGATAACCACAATGATTTCTAAACAATTTTCATCTTCATCAGTCATCAGTCATAATCATCCTTTTACATTGTTTGCACCAATGCCGGAGTGTTATATCCTCATTAGTACAAGCAAGCAGATCTCCTGTTTAATAATAATGACTGTAACAGACAACTCTTAGGAAATTACTACAGTTTACAGCCTAAAAACATGGTGTTTTAAAACAGAAGCAATTTTGTATTCCCATGTGAAGTCGGGTGGAGATGAGATCAGAGCAAACCAGTATTACAAAAAGCTGTTGTCTCCTGTGAATCATCTTTTTTTCCTGGTTTCCATCAGTGGGAATAAATGCGTAGGTAGTCAGCACTCCCCTCCCACTTTGAAGGGTCGCTTTAAAAAGGCTCTTTGTTTCTTTGAGGGGAACCAAGAGCTGGACTTATAGGATGAATGTTTCCACTGAGGTCACGCCGTTCCTATAGAGGCCGGCAGAGTGAAGTCATCACATCAGTGATGAGGCAAGGCCCTTTCCGACGAGTAAAGAAAACATTTTTTTCACGCTTTACCAAAAGTCACATGACAGTTACCTCTCAGATAATCAGTGTTTACAATTTAAAGACGTTATTCAAGGCTCATAGTTCTTGTGGAACTATGAGCCCTTTGACATCACGTATAAAATAAGGTTTGTCCAAATGCCAGGTACCACATACGTATTTGCTGGAATAAATAGGGAGGAGTACAGAGAAAGATGGATGAGTTGGGCCAGATATAGTTGCATATTTTTAGGCTCAGACTGAAAACATAAAAAATGACAAATCTGGGGCGTGTGTGGGACGTAGCAAAAAAACTGATAAACGACCAATTCTGACAGACAGAAAGATCCTCCCTCCGGTGCTCAGTGATGATACCTTTTATCTCGGAAGAGGACCGGTCTGTGAGAAAATCAAAAAGATGTGTCACAGTAAAGAGGACCCATCAACTGGAAAGGACACAGCGAGTGGACCAGGCAGAAGTGCTTCCTTTCCTGTCTAATTGGCCAGTTAACAGTGGCCAACGCTGTCAAGCATGTCCAGAACATAAAAGAGGGGCGGCCATTAGCACCGTGGAACTCTCTCCAGTGTTCTTTGTCGAAGCATCACCTACATCCCACACACTGTCTGATTTTGGTAACAGCAGACACCGGATTCTCTTTTTTTAAAGACTATAAAGAAAATCTTCAGCTAACCCCCCCAAGGCGTTCTCTCTTTTTTTCTCCTCCCCTCTGATGGTCACCAGGAGACCGTTTTGTTGTTTTTTCTTCTTTTTTGCCCCCCAAAGCACTTTAGCCCTAATGAGGCGCAGACGGCTATTGTCTCGGCTTTTCTAGTCTGGTCCCGTGGCTTTACCAACGGCGGCTGAGCTCCAGGGAGGTCTTAGATCAGATCCACAAGCTGCACATCATTAGTGGTGCGTCACAGGGTAGGACGACTCTCTTACGTCCAGAGAGGCCTGGAGGATTTTTTCATTTTATACAGCAGCGCTCAGTCAATAGGTGAAGATACATTTGATAAAAGGTGCTGAAGTGGAAGCCACGTCTGAATCTGATAGTTTTAACAGAGACAAAAGGGGAGAGTAACTTGCTTTGCTTCAAAGTCACATTCTATTACAGCCGTTGAATCATTTGTTCTTCTTTGATTTACTCAAGAGTTACTTTTTGAGTGAAGAAGCTGTTTGTTGCAATTTTGCACACAATCGAATGCTCTACCATCTCAAGAGCTTAAAGCTCATTTACACTCAGCAGAGGTTTTTGAGCAGAGGCTGAAAAACAGTGCTTTACCCTTGACAAATACTTTGAGCAGCAAAACAATCCTGGTGCCCATTACAAACCCTATGTTGACAAACTAAATAAGGAGAATCTAAAATGGTACAAGTATAACCTTCTCAGTCTCATTTGGATGATTCCCTAAATGTCACCTGCTATTCACAAACAGAATTAGGTTTGCCTATAAAAAACTACTAAAATAAATATTTTTTTTCACCTAGTCATACATACCTACGC